GAGCCTCAGGCAGGGGAAGGGATTCTGTGGGAGTATGCAAGTATGTGCTCCATGCCGTTTCTCCCCCTCTTGGGCTTAGTCCTAATGCCACCTTCAATCGGCCCTGTTGTAGATGTTCTCCCCCCCCAAGGACATGAGCGCCCGATTTTTTTACGTCGACATTCTCTCAGCTAACTTCGTTACAGTCCGCTGTCATGGAGAATTCCAATTGAAGGTCATTCGTTGTATTTAGCGACAGTCGTCTATCCGGATGTTCTCAGTGCAGTTTCATGTGGAGAAATTATTCGATGACGAACTAGCTTTCATCGATAGGCATATGATCGGTGATTTCCAAGAGATTTGCCAGACTTTGTTTTGTGAACTCTACGTCACTATCGTTGAAAACGTATTCCTTGCTTAGCAGCTGACATTGCTGACGTTGATTGTCACGTGCTCAACAGGAAGTGATTAAGTGCTTGAGGCACATTAGTTTGTTGCCGAGTGATAGGAGAAGTGTGAAGAATTTTCATCTGCAAACGATGCTTTCTGTGGACTGCCACACACTTGTGTATCACACCTGTTATGAGAACCCTCATGTGAACCCCTAAAACGAGAAGTAGCCTAGCATTCAAACTTGATTAGATCGTTGCCTTGATTTTCGCTGGAGTTCTCTCCGCCAAAGCTCACCTACATTCTTCCGTTGGCATTTTGCCTAGGCTCTAGGAAGGAGAGTCGATTGCCAGATTGAAGTGAGGGTTGTGGTTTATGGTCCCGTCTAGAACGCAAGTGCAAAGTCACAAACAAGGCGAGTATCAAAGAACAGAAGCAGTTGTACACATGAAATACTGCTTCAAACATAACGTGGCGTCAGAGGGTGCTTAAATAAAAGACAAGTCGGTAGTAAACATTTTTGTGTTTCTTTCTATATAAGTTACCCACAAAATGTAGTTTGAAGCCTTTTACTGTTAACTGACAAAGTTGTAGGCAACAGTAACTGTACCAGTCTTTTGATCATTCATTAGAGAAGTTAAAAGTTGTGGGGAACATACACGAATGGGTTTAAGATTATCTTCTTTTCATCGATACATGTTTGCGAAATCGTACTAGCTACTGGTGCCTCTTGTCTCACCTCTGTATATTTGCTTTTAAAAGTTAACAGTTTTCGTCGCTCTGACATTCGGGCTAAAAGTCGTTCATTCGGAACGCGATGCGATTTCCGACGAGAGCACGTTTTGTTCTGACATGGATTCGAAGGGAGAGAGGGGTAGCAAGGTCATTTGAATGGTCTATGAGGGAGGGTCATGCTGTAAATTCCGAAAACACATTTTTGCGCGTGACGCTGCTTCTGTTCTACTATCCAGATCATTGACTTTCTCTGGTATTGAAAGTGGGTGTTGTGGCCGGCTTGTCGTTGTGGTGATTGATGTGGTTTCTCCGTCATGCGTGCTCCTTCGTTGACAGAGTCGTAAGAGGCGCTTGGCTTTGGTCGTAGAAGAACTGTGCGCCATTAACTACAGTGTCAGACACTCACTCAGTGTTGGATATATATGAGTCAAATATGTGGAACATAAAACCTTAACTCACTAAAGGCCTACTGCTAATTTGTGGATTGTGTTTTAAGATTCCGGAAATTTCGTGAGTTAGTGGCTCCTTCCGGGCCTATTCCACGAATTGTGTTAAAGGCAAGAATCAGGATTGAATTGATGGGGTTTTTCACTCAAATGTGAAAGGGGTGGGAGGTGGACCGCCAGTGGAGAAAAAAGGAAAGAAAATCCTGAAATACACAGGAAATACGAGCATTTTGCTCCATGCTGTGGAGAAGTTCAAAAGACAGGCAGGGAGATGAGAGATAATGTGAGCGCGGAGAGCGGTAGAGAAGTCCGAGAAGAGAGAGCATAGCAGATCAACGGCGACGCAGACAAGATATCGAACGGTGGGCGGACCATGTTAAGTTTGGTGGAGTCTGTTAGAAGTCCATGGCGCCTAGGGTCCTAGTGACGCGTTTCGATGTAGAAAGGTGGCGCTACCTTTGCACTTGCGTACCCAGCACTTCTAGCCATGGTAAGGGCTTCTTAGGTGGTCTGAGCTTGTTTGCCTTTGAAAGTGGGAATGCTTCATTATTCCTACAAATGACAAATTTTATGACCATTTGTTTTGCCGGCGGCGCACGGGCATAGTTGTAAACTGCCCTTTATTGAAACTATCAAAATGCTCATCAGTGGCAAAGGCCGAATTGAAAATGTGTTGATGGGATTTTACTTGCCGCATTTTTGGCTCGATCAGACAAATGTAATAGAAACGTTTGAACGAGCAAACGCCTGGGATCCTCGACACGAGAAACAGTCGAGCAGAATTCTTCCCGTTGAAACTATAATCACACCCCAGCAATGTTCAGGTGACGCTCAAGCGTTCTACATTAGGCTGGTGTCAGAGTCCGCGATTCGATTTTCGCGATTTTCGCGAAACCTGCGATGGATCACAGGAGTTGGAAGTGCCCGATGAATACTGCGAGGTGTTGTTTAATCCTGCTGCGAATTCTGCTTGGCAGTAAAGATTGGAAGACGAATGTTTGTGGTTCTACTTGTTTCATGTTCAATGTCTATTAGTTCATTGAAATGCTCTTGAATCGTTCCTATTTTTTTCAGGAATCAAACCAAACCAATCACAAAAATTGCAAGTGCCCCATTTGAACAATTGAAACACTGGATATGAAACAAGTGGAATCATGAGCAGTCTCCATTAAACCATAACCATCAAGCAGAAGTGACGGCGGATTGGAGAACACCTTGCAGTATTGATGGGGCACTTGTGATTTCCGTGACCCGTCGCGCAAATCGCGAAAATCGCGCAAAGAATCGCGGACTCTGACACCAGCCTTACCAATGGGTGGGTGTAGAGTGGGTTATTGTTTGTGCTATATGACTTAGTAAGACATGAGTGTAGTAGAAGGTGTCCAAATGCGTGGAGTCGTGCAGATTGACTGTAAAATTTGCGACACCATCTTCGTTCGCTCTGTATTCGAGGCGCAGGTGGTCATCCCGTGTTGTAGGTTGTGCACAGATGTAAAGAAGAATTCCTTTTATCGAAGAGTCATACATCTTCACCTGGAAGATTTAATGATTTCCAACACGATTGCCTAATCCTTCTACATAGGCACGGCTTGAATGCAAAGCAAGCCAAGCCTAGGTATTGGATTTTTTTTACAACGCTCCCCCGGTCTTGCGATACGCTCATTCACGAGGGGCGACTAATTTATCAAGGAAATACCGGATTTCGATCAATCTATAAAGAGGGATTTGGTGCAACTGCGATAGACCTCTACATAGTTGGTCCTAGTCGCCAACACCAGGAAACCTGTGCAACGCTAGTAGTCATTTAGTCGCCAAATGAATTTTGACCAATGAAGATCGGCATGGCAGTGACATCCGCTTCGCCGCCGTCGAATCTCCGACTTCCATCTCATGCGAAGTGTGTCCACCTACATTTACCCTCAAGAATGGAGAAGTTCACGATTCTCGTTTTGCTAACCGTTGGAGAGAGAAGCGAATCATATGCGGAATCCCTGAGAGGTCACGGCATAGTTCAGTAAAGGGAACGTAAACGTTCCCATGTCTTCTTTGAATGCATGCTTTTGTCGTGTTGGTTGGTCTCCACTCCGTAGAACACCAGGGGCCGTAATGTATGCTTCCCCGAAGGGTTAGGGGACGAAAATCCCTTTAAATTTTCTCTGTCTCCCAACTGGGATTGTCCTGATAAAGGGCCTACATTTAATATATGTGTGTAGCTTAAAGTAAACATGCATTGAAAATAAAGAAACAGTATCGTTCAAAACAAAAAATTTAAAGGGACTTTCGTCCCCGCAACATTCGGGGAAGCATACCTTACGGCCCCAGGAAGTATAACCCAAAGGGGAGAGGAATGACGTCGACGAATGCCGCCATGTGCATAGAACAGTTTAAGAAACTGGAAGCTCATGTCGACAGTACTCGCAGATGTGGACAGAAATCAGCTTCCTAAATGGCGATGCCCGTTTCCACACTCCCAAGGCGATCCAGGCCAGGTTAGAACAGCTATTCAGCCGTCCCTCAGCTACTCTGCAGTTGCTTTTCCTGATTGCTGGATCGTCAGCCCATGTAAGCGCTTGCTGTTCTAATACGTAATACTAGGCAGCGTTTCATGCCAGGAGGTGGAACTCTGGGAAGCGATGCCCTACTTCTCCATGTATTAAGCCCTCTCCTCTTTAGGGAGAAGCTAATCGATAAACTGCAAAAATAAATTTCTTCATAAATTTACATCGTTCTTCGATGGCAAACTTTCTTGTCAGCTTAATACCTTTGATGATATTACTGTTCTTCCATCCTCTCATTCTGTATTCTTCATTCTAGACTGAACAATTCTGAAAGTTTGATAGAATGACTGCTCGAATGGTGCTTGAAATCGTCTGGGGTCATCTTTGTTTCCCGATTCAATTCGCAAGCGACTGTTGATGGATTAAATGTTTATGTTCACTATGATGTTACTGTATCATTGATGTCACACTCTAACGTACTAGTGCGTTTCATTACTTTTCTTCTTCACAAATGATTGTGATTTATTGGTGCGCGTAGCTGAGGCGTGGCCTTGATTGTTGGGACTTTGCCCTACGTACGTTCGCAACATGCGGTATCACTTGTGGTTCTCGTGTGACGACTGCGGTGGTCTGATTCCGCTATCTTGATTACTGCCATGTGCTACCTTTTCGGTGTTCTCTGATCTGCCGACGTTTGGTCGCCTGCAGCTTTGAAGGGAATCATCCGTAATACAGTCTTCCCATAGAGGATTCTTTATTTCTTCATCTCCGAACGTTCGTTTTTATTAGGTGGTCTTATGGCCCTGGAACATTGTTCAACGAGAATGGTAGTAGTTAAATTGAGTTCGGTTTTCTATCCTCGCTATCTTGTTTCACGTTGAGCAGTTTTTTCTTGTGTCCAGTAGCGGTCGTCTAATTCAGAACTCTTTGTTGCTGCTCGTCATTTCTGCAGGTGTCGTCTCGCGTGTTTGTCTTCTGTATTATATCATTCCGTATTTTTGAAGGGTGGATTTGAGCATTATTCTCCACTAGTTGAAACCGATTGGAGCAGTATGATGAAAGACACCGCAGTATGGATGCACTCACAGAGCAGGTAAGCTTCAACCAGAGACCAGTAAGGTAGTTGTTTTTGTGGTCTTCAAGCGTAGTCAGGGATCAAGTGTCCAGCTTTCGCGTCTGCCTTTGTTTATTTGTGGGAGCACGTATATGTCCAGTTCATTTCCTGTGCTGTTGATGTTTCTAGAAACCCTTCGATCTCACTTCGCGTAACCGGTTTGAGTTTATATCGTTTACTCATTCGATGTCATTGCTTTTGTGCCTCCATCTGCGACATTGTGAACACTCGGCTGTTTTGTGGAAGCTTTCACAATCATAGCTGAGTGCGACATGATCATGTTTTGGTTACTACACACTTGGGTATTGACAAGTGCCCTGTGTTCTTCAGTCTCTTCTTATCAAACTAGTTAGGAGTGCCCTATGTTTGCTTTTGGAAGATATTTATTTGGGTCTACTCCGCTGAATTGTATACAGAACGATGTTCCTCTTTGCTCCAAGCAGTTCTACCAGCAGCGTTTTTTTCTGAAGTGTATGCTATGCTTATGCAGTAAACAAGGACTTTCTTCAGGGGTCTATTTGATCTTATCGACCACATTCTTGTCGGAACATCTGGATCATTTCCATCATATCTGTCTCTTGCTGCAGCTGGTGCCGTAACTATGGGACTCGGTTACTATCTCACCAAGAATAACAATGGTAGAATTACCCCACTTGTGGATCCTTTGAATCAAACTGTTGAACAGCAGGTGAGGACTAATTTTTTTCCATCAATTTTATTCATTTCCTGTTGCTCATTTTTCTTTTTGCAAATTTTCTGTAGAAGGTGGAAGGACACGAAAAAGAGTTCCTGTAGAGCTGTCCAATTGTTATGAAAGTTCATGTATCTCGTCAGGTTATTCATACAAACAGAATAATGTTCTTAGGTGAAACTCAGCAAATGCATAAACTAGGACATCAAGAACCCTGAAATGAACTTATTTGCAGGCTCACACAAGCAGTTGGGAAGTGAAAGAGAAAGTCAGATGAAGTTCTGAACTTGTAGTGAATTTGCTATGTTGTATGAATCCCTGCAGTTAGAGACATTATGAGTGTTGACATGGTATCGTGGTGAACAGTGCTAATACAGTTTCTTAACGACTTTTGAACCCCCTAAAATTGAACTCGTACTCCTCGAATAGAAGGCAAGGTTCAGTTAGAAGGCAGTGTATCGTGAATGGGCAGCATGAAATTTTCCTTTTTTCACTGTAATGGGATTCTGAAAGAATGAACTAATGAAATTTTCGGAGAACGCTCAAATACTGTCTAATAAAATGAAGGAAATACCGTTTTGAGTTTGAAATAGATATTATACGTTGCGCGGTTGGATTCGGCCTTTACTACGGAGGTCTAGGGTATAGTTTTAGTTGCATACATTATCGCATAGTAAATAATCGTGAGTAATTCATCGAACAGCCCTCAAAGTCCAACAGTTGCGGGTGAGGGGCTTCTATCTCACGCTTGCAATTGTCTATCCAACATTACAGCCGTTTTTGGTTGGGAAGGTTCATATTGTTGCCAATGTTGCTATGATAGACGCCTGCACGTTGTAAAGCAAAATAATTCATCACAATGTTCAACTTCCACGTGAACACTTGATTTTCCCCCCATCACGATGTCTTATTTTGAACGAAACTAAAATTAAGGTGCGAAGGTCGCTCTACGGGAACGAACCTTGTGATAAACATGTTGGAGATAAGATACAGGCTTCTAATTGCGTGTTGTTCAGGATGGCTCGCGGGTCACTGCTTATCTAAAGGATGGCAACCTCTTGTCGTATGTGTACGAAGATGTGCGCACATTGTACGAAGGAGTTCGACGAGGGGCACGAGTCTCTAACAATGGCCCTATGCTTGGTCGTCGAGTAAAACACGCGGATGGAACAGAACCGTATGAGTGGATCACTTACAATGAGGTACGGATGCAGTTTTGCAATTATTTCATGAAGTACAGCTCTGGAAACAACAGCTTTTTGATTCACGCGCAGCCTTCCCTCTCAACATTGATAAACAATATCGAATCAAGGTTATTCTCCTTTTTCTCTAGTGAGTTGTGATCTGATAAGACTTGCGCTGCAATACAGCTTCCTTATTCATGCTTATCATTTTTCATAACGACACATTTTGAAAAAAAAATCCAGCTCCGACGTTATTCAAGGATTCTGTGGTGTAAAATCGAAGAATTCGAGGTTGGATGGGGTTCTTCTCGGCTAAGCGAGCCTCATCAATTTCCTAGTGGAGTTCTATTCAGCATATCTGCCGCATCTCCTTCCCGGCTCTGTGATGCTTTTTTCTAGAAACTACGGAAATTGTCTAGTCGCCATTATGTTAAAAAATTGATCTCATTGTGTAATTTTGTAAGGTTTAACCCATTTCGGATCGCTTGCTGCGCCACGTGCAGCACGGCAACACTTGAAAATGGATAGTAATGTTTGTCAGTACCTTTTGGGCGCAAAATATATCATACATTTGCAAACCGATTAAATTTTCGATAGACTCTGGGCTACTGATAAAACTGATGACAAAAACCTAAGGGCAATGGATTGAATAATGATTCGTTGGTTGAGATTCACACGTGCAGAAAAAAAAACGATACAGCTTGTTGTCTCTGCATGGTTTTTAGTTCCTCGGGAAACAAACGCGCCAGCATTGTATTTCAACATTGAAATGATAACGTATTGCGCGTTCACGGTTCACTAAGAGAAATCCAAGTACAGTTTACGTTATAAGGTGCAATAGGGGATGAATTGAAGGTGTAAGATGTGCATTTCCCCAAACAGCTATTTATGGTGAAACCACGACCTTCTCAACTATCTTAATTTTTAGGCAGTTATTATGGTTCCCATGAAAGTACTTGGGAAATAGTGGATAGGACTAGAAAAAGTTTTTTTTAGGTTTTTGAAAGTGCCACCTTTCACTGTTCCTTTATTTCCTTTTCAGGTTCTCGATCGTTCCAACGACGTTTCGATTGCATTCAGGGAACTGGGCATTCCAGTCGGGAATGATACTCATATTGGGATTTACAGTAAAAATCGACCGGAGGTATGATTGCTGAGCCTATTTGAGTGTAGTTTCTCTACTGTTATTCTTTGTTAGAGGAAAAAATTTGACGGTTGAAACGAAAACCCTCTGACAGGGCTGCTGATTGCGCAAAATATGTTTTTTGTCCTAATCAGTGCTACATTGCTCTTGTGGACAGGAGGCGATCAAAAAATGTGGCATAAATTCAAGGAGAGCTTGATGAAATGAAATCTCCTGAAAATATATTACTTTCAGTGGATCATCACAGAACTAGCGGCCTATAATTTTGGTAATGTAATCGTTCCGATTTATGAGACTCTTGGATTCGAAGCTTGTGTATTTATTCTTAACCAAACTGAAATGCAGTTGGTTGTATGTGATGCAGTTTCGAAGGCTATCGGTATGATATTTGTATGGTTAATATTTTCGATTGTCAGTAGTCGACACTGGGCTAGATTTGATCCTCTTTCAGGTCTTATTAAGCAGAACTCAAACTGTCCTCATTTGAAGACTGTGGTGGTGATGGAACCAATCACTGAGGAACTGCGCACTGTCGCTTCAGAAAATGGAGTGCATGTTCTCACCTTCGACGAATTGGAGAAAATGGGCCGCGAAGCTCAAAATCGGCCTGCTCATCAACCTCCGAAGGTTCCGTTTTTTCACATATCGGGAAATCCTTTTTCATTTCTGCACTCATTGAACGGTTTTTAGCCAGATGATTTGGCAACAATCTGTTATACATCCGGCACGACAGGTACACCAAAAGGTGTTATGTTAACACATGGAAATGTCGTAGCTGACGGAGTCAGTATGGAATTTTTCAAGTACACGGGATTTAATGTTTCGGTCAGTTTGTATTTAGATGCATGTGTGAACTTAGTGTGTGTCAATTTCATTTTATTCCAATTTAATTTCAATAGGTATTTTATTCGAGCCGTATTAGGCCCCGTTCATAACTCGCAGTTAATGCGCTTCGGCGATTAAGCGATTCCAAAGGTTGGCTATTCGGTGATTTGGAGACCAACAATGCGCGTAGTAGTTATTCCTCAGAATGATGGTGACGGTTTGTTCATCGCTCGCGTATACCATTTCTATCAATATGTAACCAATCCTTCCAGTATAATCACCGAATAGTCCTACTCGCCTAATCGTCAGTCTCAATCGCATAGTCGCTGACTACGTTCATTGGCCGAAGTCATCTCATTCCGTACACGCCTAGTTCGTTCAGGATAATCGCCAACTTGCTTGATAGCATAGTGGCCGTTTTTTTCAGATCTATAGGAATTGAACGATGACTTACGATTAAAGGGGTACTCCTGCGGAATTTTCGTGTGGGCTCAAAACTGGTTTACGACATGTGTGTTACTACTTTCTCGAGATATATCTCTAAACTGAAAAAAAATCTTTAGAGATTTTCCCTCATCAAAAATTCAAGCTTTGAACTTCAATTTTCATTTTCTTTTCTTCTCGTTTTTACCTCGGCGCTCATATTTTGTGGCTTTCAGGATGTTATGATCAGTTTCCTTCCCCTGGCCCACATGTTGGAACGAGTGATTGAGAGCGTATGCTTTGCAAAAGGTGCAAGAGTGGGCTTCTACAGGTGAGTTTTATTACACGATCTGCTCTTGAAAATGGACGTTTTGCAAATCAAATTTGAATTTTCAACACATCTTGAACTCAACTTTTCAATTCATCCCGTAGTTTTTGAATGACCAGAGACGTTTCAGTGCAAAATGGGCTGTTCTTTGCGGCAAGCTGGACACCGCTGAAATAAAGCATACCCACCTTTATTTCCGATGGTCCATTTTCTCACTCATCAGGATATATTTTTGAGAAACAAGAATCCTCAATCAACAAAATAGTACATTTTCGAGTCCTACCAATGCGAGCTCCTTCTGCAATGAAACAGTTAACGTAGGGCTGTCAGCTGCCGTGGTTCTATTTTCCATAATGTGAAGGATGGGGCTCAACTATCTTGCTGCGTCACCATTCCCTCACTTTTTTGAATGACCGCGCTCATGGTCAGGGTGTCTCGGCGCGCGATTTTTGAAAGAACCGTGCACTCCATAGGTCTCGATTCATTAATCTCGTGCGCCATCCTCATGATCAGATTTGGCGTTTCGGACAGCAGTATTTGTGAGGTGATCCATCAAGACAGAAATCAAGGCAGCAGTACAAAAATTCGCATAACAAAAATTCGAAGGGTCAGAAAGATAATCTCGAGAAGAAGGTTAGCTTTAAAAAAAAGCTTGCTGACACAATATTCTATAGCGCCAATGAGCTTTCATAAAAGAATTTCAACTTTCGTTCCAGGGTTTGAAAATTCCAATGATCCAAAAAATTTTCATGGCCGACAAGGCTCCCCCACTTTCTTCACGATTTGGGGCGCGGCCGCGGCGAGCGCGGACGAGTCGATAGTGCCCGCGAACTGTGGTGGTGATGCGTTTTCAAATTTACCCACACAGTTCGCGGGCACTATCGACTCGGCCGCGCTCGCCGCGGCCGCGCCCCAAATCGTGAAGAAAGTGGGGGAGCCGGCCGACAAAAAAACGGGTCGGAATGAAAAATGTTCACGGGTCATTGAAAAAAATCCGGATTGATTTGGAGAACGTCCGTGTTCATTTGAATTTTTTAAACATTTTCTTTCAGAGGCGACATTCGGTTACTGGCGGAAGACATCAAGGAATTACGTCCAACCGTTGTTCCTGTCGTTCCACGTGTTCTTAATAGGCTTTACGACAAGGTATAATCACTAGACGTAGACCATTATTGCAGACTTTGTAAAAACTCTTTTGTTGTGAACCTAGTAGTCATAAGCATTCCATGGACAACTAATGTTCTAAATTCTCTATTCATTGGTTTTTTGACATTCTTTTCGCGCTGAATCTGCTAGACTTAGGGTTTTATTCATGTTTTGAGACTATCGTAATTTTTTATAGGTCATGACCGAGGTGAACAAATCCTACGTGAAGAAAATGCTATTCAATCTAGCCATCAAGTACAAGGCCCGCGAGATGCACAAGTAAGTACTATGCGTATCCAAATTCATTCACACTATCTGCACTCTGTTTGCAGCTTTGTTATTCGGAACGATGGATTCTTCGATAATGTAGTGTTTAAGAAGGTGCGCGAAGGAATGGGAGGTAATTTCCATGAATTCCAGTGCTTTAATATTTCCAGTGTCGTACAGACGTTTTACTTCACAGTGTATTGTATATGCAGACGTGATGAATAGAAGTCTTTGAACTTGTAGGGCGCGTAAGACTAATGGTAACTGGTTCTGCACCGTTGTCTGAAAATGTGCTGACATTCGTACGTGCGGCTATGGGTTGCGTTGTGGTTGAAGGATACGGTCAAACCGAATGTGTTGCTGCATGCACTGTGAGTTCAATCTTTCATATGTAAATAGTAGGGGGTGCGACACTCAAAGGACTCCCATATGAGCTCAAAGGCTGGTTCGTATCGGCAGAGCTGACCCAGTTTCAAGGCAGTAGCTGAGAGGTGGAGCGACTTTGATGACGTTACCAGGCTCATTGACGGCAGCACGTCGAAAATTTGTCCGACCCCCTTTCTCTCCCGAAGAAGGGGGGGGGGTGGCCGGGACAAGTTTCGGACGCTCTTTCGTCGTATTATTATCATTACTATTGACGCCCGATGGTTATTAAAACTGCTCCGCTTCTCAACCATCTCATCTACTGCTTTTAAGCGCTATCACCCATTCTGGTGAAAGGCTCGAGAGTCTTATTCTGTTAATGCAGTTGCAGTATCACTTGAGAATCTAATACCTTCTAGTCCAGCTTTTACTATTTTAAATAATTTAGGTTTTAATTTTTTCTTGACAGGTATCAATGGAGGGTGACTCGAACGCTGGTCATGTCGGCATGGCAATTCCGTCAGCTTCCATCAAGCTGGTAGATGTGCCGGAGTTAAATTATTTCGCTAAGGATGGGGCTGGAGAAGTAAGATCTGTCATTTATCTTTTTCTCCTATAAAGTAGAATATTTTTAGATTGGCAATCTGCAGGTGTCTAGTATGAAAAGGGCTTATTGCTGCATTTTAGTGCTGCACTCGCGTTACCCATTTTTTTTTCAACGCACCTAGAAGTCTCCGACGGTCGCTTTAGCAAATATCGACGTATATTTATCTCATAACCTTTCCCTCTTTAGAAGGCATACTGCGTGATTGACAAGGTTTGGCTCGCTGCGTGCGAAAGGAAAAGTCACGGTAAATGGTCTGCCATGGTAAAGGGAGCAAACGGTAGTCACTTATGAAGCACTGAAGGAGGGAGGAGTAAGTCTTCGTGGCATTCCTGGTTGGATGTCATGAAGCTAGGAAGCTATTAATGCGCTTCTAGTAAAAAGCTTTGGAGTGTTTGTAATGTTAGCGGTTTGCTACATTTCTTTCATTCCGTATTATCTTTGCTTACTAGCACAGGTTCTTAATAGCTTATTGGTGCGCTTTAAGTGTCGAAATATAAATAAATTAGCTTCAAGTACGATTGCAAATAAATAAATGGATAAATAGTCCTATTTCAAAAGAGATAAAGATCTAGTGAACCAAAAAAAATAACATTTTTTCACTACCTCAATAAACTGCTGTGCTATGCTCCGCTTCAGTCATTTCTGTTTTGATCTTTTTTTTTCAGATCTGTGTGAAAGGGCCTATTGTGTTCCGTGGCTACTACAAGAACGAAGAGCAAACCAAAGAAGTTCTTGATGAGGACGGTTGGTTACACACGGGCGACATTGGTAGGTGGACTAACGAGGGTACACTGAAGATTGTCGATCGGAAGAAACATATCTTCAAGTTAGCGCAGGTAGACATTGCATTCTTTTACTCTGCCCTTTGTTTTATTTGTGACCTTCATCAGTTGTCACCTGTACCTTTCAGGGTGAATATGTCGCTCCTGAAAAAATCGAAAACATCTACGTACGATCTCGGTTCGTTGCTCAATCGTTTGTTTATGGGGAATCTCTAAAATCATGCCTTATTGCTATTGTTGTTCCAGATCCAGAGGTGAGCTCTTACTTTACTTTGCTCAAGTTTTTATTATTGTTTGTGCCCGTTTTCCACGTGCCGCACTTGTTTGGATCCTAAAAAATGTGAAATATCATTCCTCATGTTGTGTAGTCTTAAAGTTAGTTCATTAGTAGTGATGTGCAATCTTGACTCCACTGATGAAACGTTCGAGGCAGATGATTTAAGCTTTTAAATTGAGTGAAATCATCGAATAGGCACATCATTTCAATGAATCTTGCAGTTTCATAGTTTGGCTTGCTTGAATTATAATCGATCCGCGTACTTGCATCTCTTTGGGGAGAGAGGTTCTAAAAAGGCCACTAAAGTTGATATTGGTTTTGCTTTTGTGCCTTTAGTGCGCCTACAGAAGTAGGACTATCCTAGTTGGTAGACTGCGCTTATGTTTGAAACCCATTTCTAACTGGCTCGCTTTTTGAGAAAATTGTAGGATGCAATTTTTAAGAATTGGCAAAATTTCAAATTGGTATTTCAAGAAGTTTTCAAGGTATGGGGTCAGTATTGAATAGGGCTTTGTGGTGGACTTTAGAGTTGAGAACACTCCTCATCTTATTCTCAATACTACATAGAGAGAAGTCCTTTGGCTCTCCAACACTAAGACAAGATAACCATAAGCGATTCATTTGAAGGATATTTTTTATCAGAACTGGTGAGTGCTCTATACACACATCCACATCCTACCCAATTTTTCGTTTCTGTTTATCCAACGTGGAGTTTCTCCACATTTAGGCCTAGGCAATGATTCCCCGGGCGACGGATCTTGGTTCGTCCGCAGCAAATCGCGTGGCGGGCAAACTACTTACTGTGCATGGAGTTGAGCCTCAAGGAGGGGAAGGGATTCTGGGGGAAGGTGTGAGCGATCTGTGTCCTCCTTGCAGTTTCTCCCTCTCCTGGGCTTAGTCCTAGTGTCACTACCATCGGCCCTATTTTGAATGTTCTTCCCTAGGGGCATGAGCGCCGCGATCAGCAAGCATATATAGTTGGCACTGAATAACTATATCTCGGTAAAAACTTCCTAATTTTAGTGTATTTATTCACTTGGGCAATGGTAGTGACAGGCTGTTTTTCATCTCCTTGCCCTAGAATCTCAAACCGACACTGCTGCATTCAATCTCCGCGCGCGGTATGTTTTTTCTAACCGCAGAACCATGCAAATTTGATCCGACGCTTTCGGCGTGTTGAATTCTGCAGAACCCGCGAAGCCTTGCCTCGTCTAGGTCGCCGCGTATGCCGCCGCGCAACTTGCCGCGTGCCAGCCTTGACGAGCCAAAACTCCCGCACCCTGATTCCCCTCCGTTTGTTTCTGTTTCCTCGGACTTAAGGTTGAAATGTGGGAGCACTGCACGAGGTTTTCAACACTACAGCGGTACTCATCTGAAGTATATTCCAGAAGAGTCGATTGCGTGTCTAGTCTTACCTTTATTGTTGAAGAGCAGTATGGAGTGAACGCTCCCCTTCCCCTTCCTTCCTCGAACTGTAGTATCGCCGGGCTCTTTGAACCAATGTGAATGAGCTCATTGTGGGCGTTGTGGAATTCGGGCACTTGCTCTTCTTTATTTGTCCCGTCTTCCACTCAATATCGAATTTTCGTTTAGGAATTCGTTCCTACATGCAAGAAGCAACTGAACTTGGAAGGAACCCTTCAAGAGCTTTGTACGAATAAGGATGCTGTCAAAATGGTGTTGGATGACATGATTGCTGTTGGAAAGAAGGGAGGATTATTCTCGTTCGAGCAGGTACGCGTAAAGGGTTGATCTTCAACTTTTTTTTGATTATTTGCGGGTTTGATTTCGGTTTTTTCTTCAGGTGAAAGCTATAAAGTTATGCCCCGATATGTTCACTGTGGAAAACGATCTCCTTACTCCAACCTTGAAAAGTAAAAGGCCGAAGCTGAAGTCGCATTTCGCATCTGAACTCGAAGCGATGTACTCGACGCTTGACTAAACACTTGTCATCATTTGATTGATGGGTACCTGGAATTTTCATAGACTATCTCTTTAATCTTCATCCCATTCGCTATGTAATCGTTTGAACGCAATTTTAATTGTTGACTTGTTTCTATTTCGCTTTGAAATCACGCATGTCCTCACAGCAAGGGACAATGTATGCAGTGGGCCTAGTTATTGGTTGACCGATGATATATCGCTTGCCTTTCCTTCGTGTAGCTCTGTGTTTCTGTGGAACGGGTGGATAACCAGCGTTCTCCTTTTAGCGTAATGCTGCTGAGAATAACCTAATGCTTAAGTTATGTCATAGTTTTATTTGAGAAATCACTTACTCTTTAATACCTCATCTTCGATCGTTTTATCATTCCCGGTACATTCATTTCAAATTTGAAAGTGGTCCATAATTTCGGCGTTCACCTGCTCAATCGAACAAATGCTTTCTGATTCTTCCACCTTCAGTGTCATGGAGTGCCACGGCTGTTTAACTGCAGATCATCCAACTAAGATGTCCTAACTCTTGATCTGAGGAACATTTCTTGCGCAAGCGATCCCGGGCCGTCCGAAGAAAACAATTTGGGGAGGTCCAGGTCTGAGGGCAAGAAAAATAAGTGTGGTAACGCAATCATTTCGGTTCGTCTACCCCATGTAGTATTCGTTTTGATAAGGATTTGTCGTTTTCAGTGAAAAACCTTCATCTCTACTCGGTGTACATGTCCAGCCTTTAATTATTAATGGTTTGTGGCCTACCGCGGTTTTATCTTCCTCACCAGCTCGGTACTTCCAGTCATTTTCTTTAGAGCATTTCTTTTTTTTTCATTGAGAGGTAGTAGATTTCAGAACACTATATTTTCCACCCTTCATCGCCTACATAGTGATTTCATTCACATTTTATTTATTGCATTTGTTCCATTTAATTTACAAGTTTAATGAGCGAGTTCGATGCCGATTCCACGAAGGCATTTTCACTGTGATTAAAGTGCTAGTATCTTTATTGAGCACAGTGTAATTACAGAAGAGCATTAAATAAATATAATAATATTTACGAATGTTCACTTGATTGACATAATCTCTTTGTACACCAAGAAACCAAAGGATTTAAGTAAACTGAGGGGGCCCGCTCTCAGGAACAGATTTAGTAATCTTGAGCTTGTGCCAATGGAACTTACATTAAATGGAGTGCTGCGCCCTCCATTTGATGTAGGTTTCTTAGAAGAAATTTTACACTAATGGCATGATCTCGGGATCGACCTATTGCGTCGTCGACATCCGCCCATAAAAACTGCAACGGAGTCATCGACATGCTCCCCATACGCGGGATATGCTGTGGGTTGAAATGATCTATATCGCGCCGAGTAAGCATGTGAAGGCTGTTGTAAATCCAAGTACAAAAGCAGCTCAAGTGTTCCAGAAATGATGAACGAACTAATTAAAATGTACACCCTCATTTCCGGTAGATAAGCCCGCGCCGATATCACGTAAAATACCTCCTCGTGCAGTGTAATTTTGTACACCTTAGAAACTACCGCAAATTTGCCTATAGAGGTAATTCGATGCCCTGATTACGAAAATGCGTTCCTTTTTTGCGGTGGCACCAACTGGCGCCAGTTGGCGCCACTGTTGAAAACCCTGTACCTTGTACTACACCTGTTTCACCAAATTTGTGACGATGTAAACTTCCGTATAGGGGTTATTTGGTGTCCTGATTACGAATATGACATTCATTCTCGGCGCTGGCGCTATTTGGCGCCTATTTTCTGCTCGTCTGCGCTCTCCAACCGAGAAATATGCTAATGCCAAAAACGAATGTCATATTCGTAATCAGGGCACCAAACCCCTATACAAAAGTTTACACAGATTTTGGTGAAAACAAGGGTCGTGACATGGCGCCACCGCTGAAAATGAATGTCGTTTTCGTAATCAGCATATCGAATTACCCTATGGGCAAGTTACGGTTGTCTCTAGATGTACGCAAGTGCACTGCACCAGCGGAGGTGTTTTTACGTGATATCGGCGCGGGCTTATCTACCGGAAATTAGGGTAAGGCATACGGAGCCCGAAGGCATACGAAGGCTATCCACAGAAGAAAGAATTGTGAGGGTTGATGTCATAGGACGCCGTCACTTCACGGCCACCTTGCCACTGGTGCTGCTGAACCGTGATGGACACCTTCACTCTGCCGATGTTCCGACTGGGAACTGATCACCCATCTCCTAGAACTTCTTATTTGATCACTGTACATCGGAGCACGGCGGTGTCTGAGATGTGGGCAAATCCTTGAGCCGCCCATCCAAAGCACCTTTATCCACTTTCGCTCTACTTATTTCGCATTCTGTTCCTTTCGGGCCAGCGTAAGCTGTTTCGTTTATTAGAAGTGGCTGTTCCCCGCTGAAGAATTGAATGCGAAATAACGCTAATAGTCGAAAAAATTCGGGTGAGTAGTCGGCTGAGGAATTTGTCCGCAATCTGACGTCTTCACTCTAATATGGAGTGATCTATTGTGATGATCTGGGAGTTGAGAAATCTAGACTTATTTAGCCAGGGAAGAATCGAAGTGGATTCCCAGACGCCAAATGGCAGGTGAAACTGCATGCTGGAAATGGTCGCGTCAACATGATCTGAGGGGTGTCTCTACGACCCATTCTATAATACTTTCAGACGTACATTCAAACTAAAGAAGGCAGTTCTATATGCGCAAGAAATAGTGGCAGGAAGCGCTGCCGCGTCACGAGTTGTATGGTTTAACTCCTACGGTTAATTTTGCTTGGGGCGGAAGTGGTGTAGTGGCAAGTGGCACGCTTACCACGCGAGCGGTCCGGGGATCAAATCCTGGGTCGTGAGTCGCCCGGGCCAACCAAGCCTTCCATCCCTCCGGGGTCGGTTAATTGGTACCAGACTTGTCTGGGAGGATAAAAACACTGACTTGTACATCGGCTGGCCCCCGCAAGTCATTGTATAGGCCACATCGCATTCAAACGCCACTACGAATGTACAAATGGAAGTAGAATGCGTGCCGCATCCCAAAAGGGATTGATCAACGGCAAATGCTTTATCCTTATCCTTTGATTTTGCACGAACTATCCTTTGTTTCTACGCTTTTGAGACTGCTTACTTGGTGCCAGATTCGTTAATAAGGATGAAAACATTGGATTGGCCGATTCAGACCAGTCACGTTTTTAACACATTCACGACGACGCCCCTTTTCCACTTTTCGGTCGCGTGGGACGGACGCGATTTTGTGGGCGCCGCCGCCTCACCACATAACCGCAGATTTTGTACTGTAAATGAACAAAAACATGAATGTCACAAAATAATTTCTGCAATGTCCAATGCGTAAAGATTATCTAAACATATAACAGTAGGATTTCGATCAAAACGACGAATAGTGGTTACGAAAAGAGAGCATTTATTCACTTTCCCCGTGAAGGAATTTAAAGCATTTTAAACTCGATTACGAGATTTACCCACCTATCTGTCCATTCCTAGCGCCTGGCAAGCGATTATCAGTTGGCAGCCCATATGGGCTGCCATCGTCCCAGAGCACATGTTGTTGGCAGCCCATATGGGCTGCCATCGGCGTGAATGTGTTAAAGAAATCTTTCACACATTTAGTCGGAACCCAACTAAGCTTGGTATTCAAATACACGATGCATAACCACAAAGGATTGGTCAGCCTTTATTTTATCTGTTGCTCTTGTCCCATCCAGAGTGGAAGGATTATTTACGCTATGCATATTAGGAAACCGTCAAAATACAAAAAAGACGTTTTTTCTTTTCAAGGATGCTGAGTTATGTGCAGATTGCTGCATCAATCGTTATCCGAATCCGTATCCGGAAAACACGGACCTTGGATCGTGATTATAGTAGCAACTGCAATTGAAAACAGCATCAAAGCAAGCAGAAAAAAATAGGAAAATTGGTGAGTCCCATGGATGGACCTGAAAACTTACCAATTTGCGAGAGGATCGAGAAAGGAAGAGCAAAAGAGAGAATAGACTGGACTGGAAAACTGGAAAAGTGTGGAAAGTAACTAGAAATATCCATAAAATACTGCTTATTATACAACTACGGTTTAACTATTTTGTGCTCCAATCGCGGAGAGCGGAATCCCAGCAGGGTCAACCGTCACGTTGGACCGATTTCAAAATTTTTACGACCCCCCCCCTCTTGGAGAGTCTCCATACGACCCCCCCCCCCGCACTTATTATGTACTGTACACTGCTAAGGAAAAGGCTAACACTAGGGAAGTATCTGCAATATACAAAAAAATCTAAAGACTTTCGGCTTAAATTCAAACATAGTTAGCAAGCTCTAGTTTCCTGATATCCGGTAATTTACTAATACTAACATCCGCAAAACGAACTGCCTTCATCAATTGCTAA